GAAAGGTTGTTCCTAGAACTTTTTTTACTGCCATTTGTTCACTTACTGAAAGCACCAGAAAAATAAAGCAAAATGAAAATAATTAGATTAATAATACAATCTGCTGGAACAGAAATGGTAAATCATTTAGAAACTGTAATACTTATTTGAAGTTTAAGGTTGATTCGTTGGATAAAGTACTAAAAGAAGCATTACCTTTGCCTTCATATTTTTTCCTTTCTTAAAAATGAGCATTATGGAAAAAGCCAAAAATTATAAAACAAAGTTGTGATTAATTTTTATTGCTGTTCTGTATTCAGCTATCTATTAGCTCCTTAATTGTGAAACTGAAATAAAAATAATTGTTGTCACCTTTACTCAGTTTATAGAATTACTGTTTTATGTAATGTGACATTCTAAGAATCAGTATGACAGGACTGTAAAGGGATACTGAATCTTTAAATTCGGATTGGGGAGTGGAATGAGGGGAAGGTATTCTTGTCTATTTAAATAAACCAACATTTGAGCAGTATGCAATATTATGAAATGTTATAGTGCTATATTAAAAACAATAAAATACTATTTTACAAATGCATTTATATATATATGTATATCGTTTCATTTATTCTCACAATGATTGTGTATTCCTCACAGGGAGCAAAACCAGATACCCTCATTGACTACAATTCCAACTGCTTTCCAAAACCACTAAGATTTTGGTTTGTACCATATCTGTTAAAGCGGTATGTTACTTTTATTTTAGAACTTACATACTCTTATAATGGGGAATATGTTTGTATCTCATCTTGGCAATTAGTGGATATTCATATGTTTTAATTGAGAGATTTTCCCTTTTATTTAAATACAATTCAATGCATTTATTTATGAAGTAGAGTTTTTAAACCTAATAAATTTAAGGGAGAGAATGTCTGATTAAACTTTCTCAGTGAACTCTTGGGAGCTCTGGTGATGTAGTACCTGGGGCATTTGACTGCCTTAGAAGGCTGTCAACCAGAAGGCTGGCGGTTCACCAGCCACTCCTCGGAAGGAAGATTGGGCAGTCTACTTCCTTAGTCTACTTCCTCAGAAACCCAAGAAGGGGTCGCTGTGAGTTGAACTGACTCAATGGCATAGGACCAGGAATATTCCCTGAATTCTTAAAGCCAAATAGTAGTTTAGCTTAACTAGTAAAGAATGTCTGCCTGGAGCATTGTGCTTTTTTAAGATTTATCTGTATGGGATCAAATTGACAGCAACTCTAAAGATCAGACAGGAAACTTAGGAGGCAGTGAGTTTACTAATGGGAGAGGAACATTCAGAAAAGGACGGTGAGAATGTTGCACAAATTGAATGTAATCAGTGCCAGTGAATTATACATGAAGAAATTGCTAAATTGGTGTTATGTTCTGTGTATATGCTCAAGAACAACCCAAAAATTAGTACATGTAATTCACAGTAACCTGCAAATCGTATCCTTCCAACTGCATGTATTTATGATTTTAAAAAAATCACAAACACTGTGGATAGAATTGTGTCCTCAGAAAAGATAATTTGAAGTCC